GACGGCTGTGTAGTGTGCAGATGGGGATCATGTTAGCTTAGCTTGGTAGCTACCAAGCTCTGGAACTTCCAGCTCGGTGGCAGGAGGTCCCGCCTCGGCTCCGCCTCTTTGCCCTTATTTGGAGCAGACGTCACTGTCGAGCCGTTAGTGGCTGACTCCGCCTACTAAGGGCTTCTCGGCAACTCTGCAGAATCCTATGGGTGACGTCACGGACCCTACGTCCATTTATATATACAGTCTATGGTCGTCACGTGGTATATATATGGTATAAACCATATATATGTCAGGGACAGTTTCATCCCATAGGCAATAAGACTGTTAAACACCTGAACTGTTGAAACAACATCCACAATATTCATCTGGCTGCTACTTACAAATTATTTATCCATTTACCTAATATATCATATTTCAATGACTTGCATATAGACTCTTATTGCACTATTTCACTTTTTTAAACTATTTTCTTCTTGTATTTACTATTTACTTGCACTATATTTTTCTGTTTATCTGTGTTGCACTGTTGGAGAAGCCTGTGACACAAGATTTCCATCGACATAACTACACTGTAGCTATGTTCGTTTGACAAATAAAGAACCTTGAACTATATGTCTCGTCTGACAGGGCTGCAGTTCTGACAGAGAGCACCAGAACGCCGCTCCGGCACTTCAAAAATTGCATTACGCATAAGGAGCCGTACACATGCCGCAGTTTTTGCATGGTTGTGTCTTTAGTTGTAAGCCCAGTGGCAATCTGTTCATCTGTCATACTGATCATACAGTCAATAACTTTGTTGTTATTAGCATCTGGTTAGCTAGCTATGCTAATGAATATAAGAAGCTTTTTCTACAACCAGTGAGGTAAAGGCACATCTTTATATGATCATTCAACACACTCTCACTCCCTAAGCGTCCAGGAGCGACTCTTGGTCAGGGTCCCGTGGCGTCCAGTTGTGACGCGCCGAGGCTCCTTCAGCTTCATAAACGGACGCAAAGACCTTTCAACTGATTGCAATGTATTCCCATCGGCGGCGGTATTTGACGCTTAGGGAAGCACGGCATTCGTTTGTGTCGGAGGCTGTTAAAGGCAATGTGAGCGTCCATTCCCATTGGATAACGGAGAATTGTACACCCGGAAGTATTCCCCTTACTGTTGATTGATTTGACAGTGATATCTCCACTACTCATCAACTCAAAAACACCAGATTATCCTTGTTAATTAAACGACATTGATAGGTTTGTGTACAATGCTTTTGTCACGTTTCAATTCTGAGAAACAAGTCGTTTTCTATGAGTTTTGGATGGCCGAAGACATTACATTACCCACAATCCTCTGTAGCAACCATAGACTGTATACAACAATTAAATAATACATTATTCCGAGTGTGCTTGCTTTTCTCTTTGAAAGTCATCACATAACGGCATTGTAATACACGTTTCGGCTGCATTAAATATGACATATCTGCCGTAGTTAACTCTATTTATAGAACCCTGATGACAAGACTTCTAGACAAACAGGAACTGCCGCCAAAACTGAAAACGTGACGTGGATCTTAAATATATTTGCAATTAAACAACATCTTACATTTCTTTTCTCACAATACGTCTCCTTGCAGTATCAACACTAATTCGGCTGACTTTTATATTTGATCCAATTGGTAGATAGGCTGTATTTACACCATAACGGTGCACAGCTGATAGAAAGGGACACCTACTGGTTAAAGCACGTTATTGCATTTTATAATTTTAATTTAGTTTTCTGAGGCCCAAGCTTTGGGCCAGGGCCTGGGCTCTTTTAGACGGCTTTAGGACATTTTGACTTGTGAACCTGTTGCTTTTGTATTTTGACTTGGTGTCTTTGTTATTTTTTGGATTCTTGTAATCCTCTATTTTTGTTAAAACCTTAATAAAACCGGTTTGTAATTTGTACATTTCGACCCAATTTCGGACATCCATGGCTGGAGTGCCTAAAATAGGGATACGACGGGCAGTTTGGTGTTAGAGGCCACGCTGTAAACGCCCCCCTAAGAAGATTACGTTGATCTTGCGTGTAGATTCTGGGGGGTTTAGTCCTAAAAAGATTGGACGGCCGTTCACCGGAGCTTTATCAGCACCGGAGTTTGGTATCGGAGAGGACCTAGATATTAACGTTAGTTGTATCGAAGTTAGATTCCTTAAACTGGCGCCCGAATAGGGACCTCTAAGAGTTAAAAGAGAACTTTAGGTCTGAAGAGTAGAAAGTGAAAAGTGTTAAAAAGTCGCTCGATTTGATCTGCTTTGCCTTATTAAGTCTGGCATTGACAAAGAGGGGGGACGCCCTTAAGTAGATCCTTAGAAACAGTGCAAGCGCGAGTGATGCACCCCGTGGGGGATTTTAAAGTGCGGGACGCACCGGAAGCAACATTTACCGAGCTAATAAAAGAACCTGAAAGTAGCCTGGTAAAGAATACCTCTTTTCCTAGCGTAGTTGTACATGAGAGACTTCTATCAAACCCTAGAATCCGGTCACAGGAGTGATGCAGGCCACGGGAGTGAAACCAAAATGGAGAAGGAAGGGGGGAACTGAAAAAGGGATACAAGCTAAGAGAAAAGGAACAAAGTTTTCTTAGGGAATAGTGAGGGTTATGAAACCCGATAGAGGAAACAGGGAGGTTGATAAGTTAGCAAGGGAGCGGCCAGCTAGCCTGGGGTCTTTGCCTCTTATTATACCTGGGGAATGGAAAGAAGGAGAGGGAGTGAGAGTTCCACCGCCCGACCTTAGCTCATGTAGGGGCAGATAGAGTGGTCATGTGTATGAAAAGCCAAAGGATTGATATACCTGAGGCAAGGGAGACAGTGATAAACTTTGAAAAAAGTTGTCTCGAGTGTGTGCGTTCAGGAGGATTTCGAAAGACTGAAACTCACCCGTGTCACATTATATCACACACACCCAATAGACACTTCAGTGCTGATGTGGCGGGGCCCCTGTCAACTAGAACTATTTTAGGAATTAAGTGCTTCCTTATTTGTGCAGACAATGGCTCAAGTGCTAAGAGAGTTTATCCCCTGAGAGTTGCAACGGGGAAGACTATTTCTACAAGATTGGCAGAACTGTTAATTCAATTTCCAGATATTGAATCATTAAGAATAGATCATGGAAAACATTTTAAGAACTTTGATGTTCAAGATTTGTTAGAATCACGCGGTGTCACACAAATCTAGTCCGTCTCTTATAAACCTGAAACTAATGGTGTTGCTGAAAAAAGCGCTTAGAAATTAAATGTATTATTATTATTATTATGAAAACTGAGGGAGAAGACACCGTAGTGCAGGTAAATAAAAATAATACTGTTGAGCTTGACACATTTTGCTTAAGTACACTGCACACAGATAAGAAAGACAAATAATGGCCCTGCCACAGACTGCACTAGCGAATACATTCGGGGGGCTGGTAACCCTGGTCCAAGGAAGGGGTTTGGGGTCTCAATCTAGTGGGGAAAGCCCTACTGGGTGCCAATATGGCCAAGCAAGGATACCTTCGTGAAGAGAGACTGGAGCCTTTGGAGTGGGGACCTGTTCAGAGCAGTTCAATGTCTGCTAGTTCAATATAGGATCCAGTGCATTCTGTTTTTGGTAAAATTAAGAAGACATTTGTGAATGATTTACGGCAAAACATTGTCTATGCTTTCAATAAAGCTAAGTGGAGACTTTTGGCTTTTCTTATTATTCTAGCTGTCGCGATAGTTTCAGGTGTTTTGTTCAGATTTGGACTGCTTCAACAAGCACTACTGTACATCACAACATTATTTTTGTTCCTGATCAAATTCACCTTTAAGATGATTTGGCTGGCCCTTAAACTACTATGGCTAATCTTAAAATGTACATGTTTCTTTTTGGGTCACGGGTTAACAAAACAAGAGAGTTAAACAAAGGAAGACATTTAGGGAGGGAGAGTCCTGTTGTTCAGGGGAGATGGAGAGGTTGGCTTTGGTAGATCAACATGATTCCTCCTCTCCCAACTTTGCTAAAAACCTTTATCCATAAAAGCTGCTTAAGAAAACAATTATAAAGAAAATGTTCTAAACTGCTGAGAGGGAGATTCCTCCTCTTTTGCCTCTCCTCCTTGCTGCAGGCTAAGCACCGGATGTTGATGTGGTTTGACATGCAGCTCCGAGATAGAGATCAGCACCCCCGCCCTTACATACTCTCACTATTCTCTGGACCTGAGACAGTGACAGCACGTAATGGAGAGACCGAACGTTACCTCTGAGAATGCTTCATCCCAGTCAATACAAGAGATCCTGATTGGAATCATTTTGACTATTTTTCATTTAGTTTTGATTACCCCAAAGTCATTAAAGAATGGGGGATTTGTGACTTTGACCTTAGCCCCATTTTACTTATTAGAAACTGGCAAAATGGCCTTATCAATCGGCCAACGCTGAGTTGTTTATTGATTTATCCATTTTTAGCAGAAAGAAGAGTTCAGTTGTGTTATTAGTTTCTTCCTATCAGGGAGTAGTTCAATAAGTAGAATAATGTTAGAAGGTTTTTAACTGCTAAAAGTCATTAGAATAGGTTTTCTCACTTTAGAGATTGTGACCAACTCCTTTTGTATCAGGTGTTTATCCAACTCCTGGTTGGTAGTCATGAATTTAAAACCAAGTAGATGTAAAATATTTTAAAGAAAATTTGTGATATTTACTATTGCAATTCTTCAGTCTCTTTATAGACGTTCTGTTGAGTGATGGTTAATAATAGACACTCATATCAGAGTTCTAGTATGTGTTCAGGCTGTTACATACAATTAGCCTCTGTTGCCACCTGCTGGTGAGTAAATATTAAAATCAGTTCAAATTGACAACCGGTCCGGGATTTTTTTTGTATGTATCTGCCGGTCTTTGGCACAATAAAGGCTGGGAACCCCTGCCTTATATAACAGATCAGATGAGACAATGTTTTTTGGAAGAGTAGAGACCCAGCGCCCAGACGGAGGTAAAGATGCTGCATGTGTTCAGCTCTTACTTTGTTCAATGCTCCATCTCTCTCCACACTGGGGACAGCAGGGGTCTCCTGATGGGCTCTGCTCCCAGTGTGAGGTGATGCACTGTCTGCAGAACCAGTGTCCACAGCTGGGAGAGACTGGATCCTTCAGGACGTCCTGACACAGAGCACAGCTGGACAGCTGCTGCTCCACAGGAACATAACTTCTCCTCTTCCCTCTGTGGAGATGAACATATCCTTTAAAAGCACTTTACATAAGTTGTGGAGGACTTCACCAATCGTACGACAAGGAGGCAAATTCTAGTTTGACATTTTAAAAAGGTCTCTCTATAATATATCTTTGCGATCAGGTAGGTAGTTTAAACTTCACATTATTATAAAACCAAACAGCATCCTGTCTGGATTCATGACCCAGAGGAGCACATGTTCCCTGTATCTACTGAGAGACACAAAGCTGTATTAATCTGGTACACTATAACATTATAAAACCAATTTACAAAGAATTTGCTGTGAATCAATTGCAATAAAAATATGACAAGAAAAACACTTTATAAAGTGTGTTTTCCGCATGAGATCAGTTTCCTTAAAGCTAAGCTAACATTGTAGCTGCTCCATCAACACTCAGAATAACTTAATAAAGTCATAAGTACAGCAGTTATTATATTGTGAGTACCAGTCTCTGGATGATACACGTACATTAATAACCCTGATTTAATTTGAGCTACTGTAGAGCTCTGAGTGCTGATGTTTCCTTCTCTGATTCACGTCAGAGCGTCAGTGACGTCAGGAGCAGAAACACTGACAGGTTGTTACAGAGCGTCACAAACTTTACACTCAACGTGTACGTTTTCACGTTGTGTGAATACACGGACGACATGAATTTCACATCTTCACTTCATTCATGTTGCCAGGTAGATATTTGTGTCTTTAAATTGAAGAATTTAATTGCTCACCAAGTTATTATTAATAAACATCTTAAAAATACATCTAAAAAGAGGCTTAGGAAGTTAGTATTATTGTTATTGCTTTATTATTTGTTTAACGTCTTGTATACAGATATTTTTCTAGAAAAATATCGTATGAGGGCGCCATGTCACTTCAGCCTAAATGACGGCCCCGCCCACTTTCCGGTGAAAATAATGCATTATGCATAATCACGGACCACTGGTGTAATTGAAGTTTTCCGCACTCTCACGGGAATATCTCCGCAATGGAGTGAGCTTAGGTTTATAGATATAGTCCAGCGCCACACCTTCGTCAAACATGTTGCCACTTGTTTGTACCATTTTCAGGCGATTTGTAATCTGTTCTAGAAAAACGATGTGTTTTTTTTTAGATTTCAAGAAGCATATAAAACAAACAATGGATGTATTTTATGAACATTTATCCACGCTGGAAGTAGATGTAGATGTGTTAGGAGTTAGATAGAGATTATTATCTAATATATGCATCCGATGAAGCATTGCATGAAGTCTGTTGATGATCAGAGGCTGTTGTTGGGGCTGCATAAAAGTTTATTTTTGTTTTGTAGGCAGACCATGCAGGCCTCAGAGAGCTAAACTTGGGCCTGCGACCATAGTTTTACTGTATTTTGTTTTGAAAATCCACAGTGGAGGTTTGTGTCGTACTACATGCGGTGTGTTTTGCATTTCTCTCAGTAGCCAACGACCTGTGAGTCTGTTGGACATAAACTCCGTAATAAATGTAGTCTACATTTCATAAGAGGTGTAAAACCTGAGAGCATTTTAAATCGCATTTGAACGAAATGCTTATGTAATCTGTTGTTGTATTTGTATTGTTGATTTAATGTGTGAACGAGGCGATACAGAGAAGGTTAAGCTGTCATTATTAGGCTGTCATTTGTTATATACTGTTGGAGTGGTAAGCAGACCTTTTGTTTTTGGATATTTGTGGAGTTAAGTGGTCCTTGGTATGAACAAGTTTGAGAAACACTGTTCAATACTATCTTACTGTGTTTCTTTATTGTACTCTCCTGCATTTTCTTTTAGTTTACTGCGCACATTATTAAAGAACAGTTTACATTATCAGATGATATAAAAACAGAATCCTCTTCATGTCAGATTACAGTAGAAACAGACTCTTACTTTGGGTCTGAAGGTCCAGGTTCATTACTGAGGTCTGGAGGTCTGTCTCTGGACCAGTCGCTCCAGCTGGAGACTGAAGACTTGTCCTCTTCCTCACTCATCTTCTCCAGTCTGAGGGATAAACACACACACACACACACACACACCACACACACACACACACCACACACACACACACACACACACACACACACACACACACACACACACACGACACACACACACACACACACAACACACACACACACACACACACACACACACAACACACACACACCACACACACATCACACACACACCCACACACACACATCCCACACACACACACACACACACACACACACACCCACACACACACACACCACACACACACACACACACACACACACACAACACATTAACACAACACACACCACAATTAGGGCTGCCCTTGACTAAAGATGTTTCTAGTCGACCAATAATCCTCAATGAATTGACTAATCGTCGCACGTTTATGATATATTCTGATTATAAATATATATTTTAGATTTTTATTAATTTGTTTATATTTATTCAACCCAAACCCAAAATGGATTCTAATTGTGTGTGTGTGTGTGTGTGTGTGTGGGTGTGTGTATGTGTGTGTGTGTGTGTGTGTGTGTATGTGTATGTGTGTGTGCGTGCGTGCGTGCGTATGTGCGCAAGTGCGAACAAGCAGCGAGGACACACCAGTGGCGTAGCTGTGGGTGGGCCCGGGTGGGCCTGGGCCCACCCACATGCACGTCTGGCCCACCCACAGCCAATCAGCGCGTTATAGCGCAGAGCCGGGAAGCCCAGAAGGAAGTGCCACAAACTGCAGTTCCTCTAGTGGCCAACAGGGGATGGATGCAGAAAGGAGCAATTCCCATAGACCTCCATGTTAAAATGCCCAACTTTACAGCAGAAATAAACATGTTTCTAGCCTGGATCCAATCAAACTTATTCTGGATATAGTTAGATTCCACCTTCATGACAATGGAATAGGGAGTGCATTTTTTTACCGTGAGTAAATTAGTAAGTAAAGTAGGTTTTGCCGTGAGTTAACGAAAGTCTTATTTCTTCTTGAGGTCTGCAGTGAAGCGTGTACACATTTGCTGAATATGAAAACTCTCAGTGTGTGCCCACTGTGCGACTGTCAAGGATAAACAACCTGTGGCCGCCGAGCCAGTCATGTGTAGGGATGGGTACCGAGCCCTAGGGCTGAATTATTAAAGACCGTGGTACCATTAAGCTCCGACGTTATCGGTCGATACTGGAGACATGTAAAAAAATATATCTCATATGTATTATTGCTACACAAACATTATATTGCAGTTTTAGTGTCGCCAACTCCGTTTCTAATACGCAAAAAGACAGCAAAATGCGTCTATGATTATTTTTAGTATTTTCGATCTTTCCAATCCAGACGAGAGATCTCTCTCCCCCGTCTGTGTGCGAGGGGGCGGGGCAGTTTACACACACGCAGCTGCTACTGTACATGCAGCAACACACACACACGGAGGAGATGGCGGAGAGAACGCGCTCCGAGGTGTGGTTAAACTTTACCTGTTCGATGTGGACAATGCTCGTTACCAAAAGTGCAATAAGAGTTTAGCATGTAAGGGCGGTAACACGAGCAATTTGTCTAAACATCTTGTAAAAGTGCACCACATTCAAACGGAGAAATGCACCGGGTTCGAATGTCTTTCTAGTAGCTCTGTAGCCCCATCCACGAGTAACTTTTCCACGTCAGGTGTTATGTATGCTAGCAGCAACACACGGAGTTAACTCAATTATACAAACATGGGCTAATGATTAGAGGTAATTTAGAGTTATTTATTTTGTTAAAGTTTCAGCTATTCTGTTTACAGTTCTGTCATCACATTATTTAATACGATTTGTTAAAACACTGTTGTTTCTTTTGATGTGAAATATGTATTTAATTAAAAATAAATAGCAATGATAGTTTTGTTCACAATTTGTGTTAGTTAGTTTACCTTATTTTTTTTCTCCAAAAAAACCGATAGAAGTACCGTTAAAGCACCGGATCAATAAGCGGTATCGATAAAAGTAGTAGTAGGCCTACCGTTAAAACCTTAACGATACCCATCCCTAGTCATGTGGATGTCTGTTGTACACACATTCTGAGGCCGCCGTGCCTATGTTTTTGTTTTCACTGCTAGTTTATGCTTATGTTCAATTAGTGCATTAAAAAATCATTAAAATCATTAATGAAGTTTCAGCTCAGACCCCACGCTTAATAAGTCTCCCCCTGGCCCACCTATATTTCTCCAGGCCCACCCACACAATAATTCCTGGCTACGCCACTGGGACACACACGGAACATTTAGTTCTAGTTTCTATTATTCATATCTGAATATAACAACCCAATAAATACTACAGAGGAAATGGAAACACTGAACATATGAGCATTACACCCTCGTCATGAAATTAAATCTTTATCGTTTTCTGTATATTATAGGTCTATATATGTTGATACAAAGCTAGGCTGCTGCCTGACTCACTGCTGCTGTTTTCCTCAGAGTCGGAGAAAGGAACACACGTTGTGGATAATTAATTGTTGAGAAATACTTTTTTTTTAATTGGGTGCGGCCATACACTATATAACACAATTATTTAAATCTAAACCATCATGATGCAAAACGTTGGTTTAAATGCAACAAATCAGTCAGACATCAGACTGGCCGCTCTCCATTTTGTCTGCGCGCGGAGGTTCCCTGTTATGTAACTGAATCAGAAACCAGGAAAATAAAAAGTTTACAACATTTGAAAATGTCACCTGTTTTTGTTTTGTTAACTACTTTTTTATACATACAGTTTAACAGAGTACATGTGTAATGTCTTAAAAACGCAGCAGAGCCTGGTGTTAACACTCACCCTGTTTTCCTCCTCCTGCTCCGTCGAAGTGTAAAACGGAGTCTGACCAGTCTGACCAGTCTGACTTCATACTTTTCACTTTCAACGTCGCTCACGTGTCTGCAGCTCCTCCCCTTGTTTCATAACCAGCCTTATCAGACATGCAACTAAACCATGGGCGTCGCAACCATTATATGAGGGTGGGACAAGTCCCCCCCACTTTTTCAAATGATTAGTTTAGACCCCCCCACTTTTACTATGCGGAAAGTCCGTGAATCGGTCTATCCACTCGCCGCTCTTTGCAGAGCGCTGTGTCAGTGCTTCACTATCAAATGAAATCCATTCCACTTGCTTATTGAGAGAATGCCCAAATCAATGAAACTCCGTACCATGTTTTCACTGCTACTTTGTACCAAGGCAGATTCTCACATAGCGCGCGCATGTTCAAGGAGTGATGTCATAGTTGGACAGCTCAGATTCTGTTGTATGAAGGATGCCGGTAGCGGAGGTAAGGCACACACACCAAATGTTCAGGAAATGGTTAATACAGCGAAAATCAAAGCTGACGATCTCTTGGTTTGATATGTTTTCTCCCCCAGACAACATGGACATAAGAACATTTTTTGCAAAGAAGAGGAAAGTAAGTCATCAGCTGGTAGCAGTTAATCAGTTAACAGTGTTAACTTAACAGTGATGGCGGTGGTGGCGGCAAATGCGTCTCACTTCTGGAGAGGAGTTTCGTCTTTATGTCATGATAGAGAAATACAAATACTGAATAGTTTAGATAAGAAAAGGCATCGAAATGCCAGGTTACTAGTATTTATCATGTAAACAGGGAACATGAATAACCCGATCTCTCTGCTCATGTAAACACATCATAACCGGGATAATACTCATAAACGACTTACTGATGTCCATGTAGAGACGCAGTGTGTTTTACTGGAGCCTCAGTTCGATACGAGATTATTTTCTGAGTTCTTTAATTTAGGTACTCTCTCTCAAAATGGTAATGTGCATTATGTTTTAATTATACTTCTTATCATTCAGAAGCTTTTTGTGTGTGTTTATGTTTTACTGAGTGCTTATAGGCTATTTCCATCCCAGTATTCAGTTAACTATTTATTTTCTGTGCACATTACATAGACTAGCTAATATTCTACCTACTGCTTGGGACTTTGAGTCTTCAAAATGTCCAATGTCACAGACTGGGACTTACTTTAGAGTCAGTTGTATTTACATTCAGTATGACTTGTTATGATTCAATGTGAAAGAGTATACTGCTCAATAAATAATGATCACTTCACCACCTCTCTTGACATCTAGGCACTTGAGAGTGAGTCAGAGGCAGAATGCAGGGACAGTGGAGAGAGGGCCATTGCTGAGGTGAGTGATGAAAGGGAAATGACAGTTGAGAGTAAATTGTGATGTGGACTCTCATCCCAGGATTTTAAGGAAATCAGTGGGGATATTGAACAGGAAACATTTCAGTCAAGGGGCATCATATGACCAATATAGACAGAAGAGCAACATTTATTTGAACATTTAAGTCAATGATACCATTCCTAGGTGAACTTAACATCCGTATGGAGTCAGATCAGTCTCAATATTAATAAATGCTCACAGAAGGATTCACAAATGTATTTTGCGATTTATATATAAATGACTCTCCACAACAATATCTCTCAATGCACTCAAATATTTATTGTTGTATATAAATGTACAAAAAAATGGGCATTTAAACTGCTTTTTATTAATTCAAAGACGGCTCTGAATTAATAATCAAATATGTTTCCTTTCTTTACTACTGGATGAAATTACAAAATGTACCCATCATTTTCCTCATGCTAGTATAGCCACATAAAAGTATCAAACCACCTGTTAAAATGCACCAGAATACAGGAAATCTATATTTTTTTTCGCCCCAACACCCCCCGTTAAAAATGTCCCCCCCACATTCAGGATGCTTCCTACGCCCATGAACTAAACACAAGCAGAACGAAGTTATTAAATAAAAACCACAGTGTGAAAATAACCCAGTACAAGTTAACATCCTGCGTTAAAAAAGAAACCTCACTAAAGTTAAAGTGTGCAGGTGTAGGCCTACTGCTGCATGTATTGCAGCAGTACACCTGCTTTAATGCTCTAGAGCAGGGGTTCCCAACCCCCGGTCCGCGGACCGGTACCGGGCCGCGGAGGTGTTACTGCCGGGCCGCGAAATAGCTGTGAGTTTATCGTAATATTTGCAGAATTATAAATATATACAAATATTTTATCATAATATTTTTTTCAAAAAGTGTTTAATTTTCGCACCTATGCCACCAGTCATATTATTTCATCCAGTAGCTAGTTCATCTTTCACCAGAAAACTGTTGAAAATGGCTTTTATGATGTTCCGAGGGATTCGGCGGCTCAGCCTAAGGTCTCAGCCTCTTGTGCGCACAAGCATGTTACCGGTGCGCCAAGTAGGAAGAGGAGCGCACCGGAGACAACCGTTTGATTGCAGACTGTTATGTTTATGTGGGGAAATGGTGGTGCATACATTATTTGAGATATATTTCAAACTCGGACTTCATTTTAAGGACATGTCGGCCAGGGGTGTAGAGCTATTTGTTTAAGCACCGGATTGGCAAAACAGGAGAGTAAACCAGTCTGCCTTGATCTATGAATTAATGTCCGGGACTCTCAGAGTACCTGCTGCCCGCAGCTGTTTTAAAGGGAAACAAACACTCAGAACACATGCACACGGAGCAGAGCACAAACAGATTCACAAAAGTTGCCAAAGCCATGCCCCCGGAGTTGACTGAGGTGCTGAATCAGGCTGTGCAGATGGTGAATTACATCAAATCAAGGCCCCTGAAATCTCGCCTCTTCTCCCAGCTGTGCGCCGAGATGGGAGCCGACCACCAAAGCCTGATCCTCCACAATTTTTAATTTTGTGACCTGTCTGTGAGTGTGTTGCTGCTTTGATGAAGCCTAATTTGATAAAGTTTCAAATTAATTTCTGAAATATTTCGTTAATAAATATTTCATGAGTAATATAGTGGTCTTTGTCACATTTTATTTGGCATTAGTAAATAATTATGCACATTTACAGATATTTTACATGATATGAGTGATAACACGTGTTATAAGGGCTATTTTGCACAATAGGTGTGCCTTGAGATTTTTACTTGTCCTTTGGTGTGAGTTTGGGAACCACTGCTCTAGAGCAGGGCTATTAAATTAGTTTGGAATGGGGCCGGTTGATGAAAATGATCCAAAGCAAGGGACCGGCAAAAAGATGGCTTGAAATATGAGCAATCATATTAAGAGCTTCAGATACAGTTAATATACAACAGCCAGTGGCGACTGGTCATTAGGGGCAGGTGGGGCACAGCCCCACCTAGTGTCAGCAGAAAGTATTACAAATAATGATTACAAAAAAATATATATATTTTAAGATCATGGTTAATCATCTGATTCGTCTGTACATTGCTGTTTTAGTCTGTGTTCTTCTAATTAGTGTCTACAGTGTGTGCCTATTGAGCTGTTTAGAGCCATGTGGGATAAAACCTGATCATGCCCCTCCCTCTCACTGTCTAAGTGAACGGTGACTGTAAAAACTACACTGCGCATGCTCAGAGTATTTTCCTATTTAATGTATGTGGCAAAAAAATAATGACCATAGGGGCACTGAGCTGCCATCCCCACCATACGTCATCTCACATAATTCAGAGCTGATTGGCTGTAAGTACGTGTGCCGCGAAAAGTGTGGTGTGTGAAGAGGAGACGAGAGAGCTGCAGTGACACGTCCTAAAACCCGGAAGTAAGCTGCGCATGGCTTCCCTCGACAAAAAAACAATGAGATTTCTCCAGAGGATTTTAGAAAATAGCTCAAAATAAGATCTGTGGGAAACGTACCTGTTAGATAAATGCACGTTTTGTTCAGCCGGATAATATCCACATGTCTACCCTACTTTTATAATTTTGAATCATAAATCTATCGATTAGATTTATGATAGACTTTTGAAACTACTAGAAGATAAGGAGGACTTTTACAAAAAAGTAATAGAAATGTTTGTCCAGGAGGATAGGCAAATGGACTTCATCTTCAAGTCAAGGTAAGACCGCCATTTTATTTAAAATGGGATTTTACTAAGAGAGAACAATTCAATATTTAAATGATAAAATTACATTTTTTGGGTATCCTTTTGTTGAACTGTCTGTTTAAAATTAATCAAAGCATCAGACAAAAAAAGCTTTTGAAAATAATATTATATTTTGGTTTAGGTCAAAATATAATATTTGTAAACCTGAAGAGTCAGTGCCAGTGCCTCACCAGCCATGAACCTCACTGCACGTCACTGCAGAAGCTTATATATAGACATCTACGTTTTTTGTGCCCCACCACTTTTGTACATATAAAAACGCCACTGACAACAGCATAGTGGAGTGCATATATTGTGTTTAATTAAATCATACAACATAGCCCCAAGGCCTTTATAGATCTAAATGGCAAGTTCAGAACTCAGTAGGCCTACATGTGAAACTAATTTAACCATCAACATCATTTCATTTGATTTAATTTAGGTGAAATGATCTAATCATTCACGCAGAAATGCAATCAATGACAGGAGTTGTCACTACAGGTTCGAAACCCGAGCCCGCTGAAGTTTTCAGGCATTGTCTTCCCCTCTCTCTCAATGTAACACCCTCTCTAGAATAAAGGCACTCTGGCCAGAAAAAAAATCATTTAAAAAAAAGTAGATTACTTTTTAACATTATACTCAAAGGGCCAGTAAATATCACCCCGGGGCCGGATTTGGCCCGCGGGCCGCCAATTGAATAGCCCTGCTCTAGAGCAAGCATCCTCAAATTCCGGACTCTGGTCCGGATCCGGACCGAACCACAACTGTCTCTGGACTCTGAGCAAATTATACTTTTCATATGTATTATCTGTATTATCTGTGTTATCTGCGAGACATCGCCACAACCCAACGAGTCAAAATTCTCCGCTATGTCCACTGCAAACAGCGCTCTGCATGTACGACTGTTCCACTGTCTGTGTGTGTCTGTGAACGCATTGGTCCAATCACATTCAGCATCCCGTCAGCGTTTTTTTCCCCCACCAACAGTCTGCGAATCAGAG